TCTTGGAAATGAAAGCTAAAGTAAACTGTTAATGAGACTTACGTAAATGGCTCCAATAATTTTGTTTTGAAGGGAACTCAAACTCTTAGCATCAGCCAGCTGGCATGCTCAGAGTCTGTAAATATTAAAGGCTTTTCTTTGGCAAGAATACCAAAATATTACTGGTATCCCTGGCATGTAATTCAAATAAAAATGAAGTCAATTGGAAGTGTTATCACAAACCTTAAATAGTCCTGATATCTACTAACTGGAGAGCTTCATTATGCCAGGTTGACATGACCTCAAGTAGTGCTTGTACAATGAGGACTGTGTTGGGTGATTCCCTTTTAGGTAAATGAAGTGTTTAATACTAAGCACGTTTTCTTAGACAACTTGGTACCTTTTTTTTGATGTGGCACTCCGTGGTGATAACCCCCTTCCCTCTGGCTCTTTCTGCAGCAAGCCCCAGGCTGGACTGCTGCATAACCAAGTTAGATTTTCCTCTGTCTAGTCCTTGATGTTTGAGACATCCTGAGCCTTTTGCATAAGACTAAAAAGCACATGAGCCCTTTGGAGAAGGTCAACCTGGCAGCACATGTGCTGAATGCTGATGGTGTGCTTGTACTGAGGATTTCTGGATGTGCAGTGGCTCTTGACGGACATGTCCAGTCTGTTGTGTGAGCACTTTGTGCGACTGCTTAATGCAGAGGTAGAGGACAACACACTCAGGGAAGAATTCCCGCACATTTGGAAATGCTGTAGAAATCGAGCAGTTGCCCAAAGTACATGCAGAGAATATTTGAGGAAGATGATTCTGGGAGAGGCTGGCTATCCAGTAGCTTTATCTGTTCCTGATTCTTGGAAAATGTGTCTCTCGCAGCAAAGTAAGGGTGTCCTGCTTGTTACCTTTGCTTGTATTGATTAAGTCTGGTGTGTTTGTAACGATGGCAGTTTGGCCACTAATGCACAGGTCATTTCTCTAGTCTGATGATAAGAACAAGCGGCAAAACACTGCTTGGTGGCTGCTTCCCAAAACTTTCATATAGTGGGAAGGAAAAGCAGAAAAGCCGACGGCTGCTGGTAGCCTGTGTTGTGATGTGTATGCCCTCATCAGCCCCAAATCTGTCTGCCCTGCATGAATAAGGGTTTGAATCCATGCTAAGGCACTGTGTGTTCCTGTGTTCCTCCTCCTTCTCCTCCCCTCAGCCCTCCCGAGGGGTGAAAGTGAGAAAGCTTGTGGGTTGAGATAAAGACAGTTTAATTGGTAAAGCAAAATCACGGAAAAGCAAAGCAACACAAGGAACTGATCCACCACTTGCCATGGACAGGCAGGTGTTCAGATAGCTCCAGGGAAGCAGGTCTCCATCATGTGTAATAGTGACTTGGGAAGACAAACACCACACCGAACATCTTCTCCTTCTTCCTTCTTCCCCCAGCTTTATATACTGAGCCTGATACCATATGGTATGGTCAGCTGGGATCCACCATCCTGGCTGTGTCCCCTCCCAATCTCTTGTACATCCCCAGTCTCCTCATCGATGGGGTGGGATGAGAAGCAGAAAAGGCCTTATGATGTGTAAGCACTGATCAGCAATAACAAAACCTTCCTTGAATTATCAACACTGTTTTCATCACAAATCCAAAACATAGCCCCATACCAGCTACTATGAAGAAAATTAATTCTGTCCCCACCAAAACCAGCACAGTCCAGAAGTGAGAATCATCAAACTAACAAAAGCATGGAGATACCCCTCTGTTAGTTGGCTCAGTGACTGGGACGCTGTGGCTCTCTGCATATGCTCCAACACGTGAGCAGCTACATCTGTGCAGCAACCTGGCAAACCCCAGCAGAGCTCTCCATGGCACAGCACTTAGCCTGGGTAGACCAAGACCTGCAGAATTTGTAATTTAATTTTTACAGCTCCCTGATACAGAATGATGAATCTAGCAGAAATTACAATTTTGTGTTGTAGAAATATGAAAAAAAAATAATGCCTGTGACGCAGAAAGAATACATTGCCAGGCACAATTACTTTTGGATAAAAAGCAATAGGAGTTGGTGTAAGATGTAGACTTTTATTTTTCCTGTTTTTTCAAGCATTGACTTAGCAAAGGGTTAGGTATACATAATGCAATATTGCATGGTTATGCAGAAGGACAACTTGTGCTGTATGCCATCATATTTTTCAAGGTTATCTAATGAAAGAGGCAAAAAATATGGGTTTTTTCCTGCAAGTCAGTAATGTGGAAGATAATAAAATATTTATGTTACATAACAGGAACCCTCTGGTTATGCTTTATTTTTGGAAATGTTATAAAAAAAACAACCAGGGCTTCTCTGAAATGAGCATTTACTTACTTAATGGGAAATGCAATGTGGATTTAACAGAAGGCATGAAAAAAGCAGCAGACTGAGGTAGCAAGTGGAGTGCTCTGGAGTTCTGTTGCACTGTGCTTGCTGCAAGCCCCTGTCACATGGAGGATTATGTGCTTACGGCATTTGCTATGAGGGCAGTTTTTCTCTGTTTCCCCACACAAATGTGTGTCTTGTGTATGCTTCTGAGGCTTTTAACTGAGGTGGAGTATGTTTCAACACTGAATTACTAGTGAGCAGTTAATACTCTGCCAGGGAGCAATACAAGAGAGGAAAACAGAGCTCAGCCCGAGCATACTGGCGATGCCCACACTTTCTAAACAGGGTTGGAGGTGGTTTTGCTGAACAATTGCAAATGAGGATGTGCAGGATCACCTGCTGCTGGTGATGTTGAAGTGCTTGTCTCTCCCAGTGTTAACTCTCTGAGTGCAAAATAGGTTTTGAAATGTTCTCCGATAACACCACATCATCACAGGCATACTTGTCCTTTTCCAAAATGATGCAAAAATACCACAGAAAGATAAATACAATGTTCCTGACATGCCATCTCGATATTTCATCACAGCATTGCTACATAACAATGTTATACTACACCATGCCATTACCTACCTCCTGACAGGGTATTATCCTAGGTAAGGGTTCAGGTATCCTGCAGACAAATTTGATAAGTGAACAGATGCAGAAAAAAAACCCCAGAAGGACCACTTAGCGGAGAAAAGGTTGGCAGAGAGCCCGAACCTCAAAATTGCAACTCTATTGGTGATCAAGTCAGGGAGAATGGACTCACACACGCAGTCCTGCGCCATGTTACTGGTCTTATTTATTCAACTAACAGTCCTGAAATCAAAATAGCCTAATTAATTGTTATAAAAAAGAATATGCGAGACTCAGTGGTTTTTAGCACTGGCAGAATGTTTTTCACCCCTGCTTTAGCAGCTGTTTGTCTGACAGTTGCTTGCACCTGACTGGCTGAACTGGCAGTGGTCAATGGGAAACCCAGATTTTGCATCTTCTCTGGCCAAGGCTGTCATGCTGGGTACTGATAGCCATGCTGTGCAGAGCTGCTTTTAGGGATAAAATTGAATAATGGTGAAGAGACAGGGATTGTTGGTGACCGTTCAAGATTTATATTGCGTTTTTTACCCACTCATCTGGGGAAGTGTGTTCCCTGAAGCTGCTGGGAACAATGTGGTTCCTTCCACAGCTCCTGTGTTAGAATTCAAAGTGTGGGGAAGATGAGTGATCAGGACAGAAGGTTTTTACAGGGCATTACATAGTTTGTGCTTACTGTCATCTGGAGAAAGTGCTGTTGATTTTCTGCTTATTCTCTGAGACCCGTGAGAAGAAAAAAGGCCTGCTGTATCCCAGTGTTACACAAGCAACACAATAAAAAGCAAACATCGGCTTGGATAGGACAGTACTAGGTTTTCTGAATCCATGAGGAGCAGTAAGTTTAGTTATTAATATCTGCAAAATATTTTAAGAGATGAAACTCAGAAAATTTGCTGCCCCTGGCTGTTGGCAGATGGAAGGTATGTGGCAGTACGGGGCAGAGACAGGACAAGGACAGGTCATTAACTGCTCTGCTGCTGGAAGCAATCACCCCACATACCCTCACTTCTGTGCAGTCACTCAAGCCTGCTGCAGCAGTGGCCCATGTTCCAAATATTCCAAAGGGTAGTGAAACAAAACACACACCAGTATTTGCCCAGAACAGAGGTGAATAGGATGAATGGCAAATTCTTACTAACATATAAGGATTCTACAAATGATGCAATTATTGAAAAGTTGGAGGCATGCTGGAAAAGTGATTAGTAACATCCAAAGTAGGAGGATATTCAGCTGTTAGGTTCAGCCTCTTCAGCAAAGGCTGCTAGGCATCTACATGGCCACAGACACGTTGTTTTCTGATGAGGATATAAGTATTTGAAGATAGACTGGCGAAACTTGTGATGGCAAGATCCTACTTTGCATCTGTGACTACAGTGTTGGGCAGTAAAGAAGATAGGAGGGAGCCCCACTCTCCAAATACATAGCGTACCACATGGAGGAAACGTATACTTAATAGGCAGGAAAGAGATAGCTTGAAAAATTCCCAAGCAGCTGAATTTCCTTCTAAAATTTCCAAATGATGCAAAATCAGAACAGCTCAGGCATGCCTCTACCTTTCCCCAGCTTTCTGCACATCGCCAGCACTTCCCATTTAAAACCATCCACCTCCCTGTTCAGTCAGGGCTGTCTGTGTCCCTGTATCAGTGGTATGCCAGTGTGTGGCTTCAGCTTCACACAATTAGAAGTTTAAGAGGCTTATGATACAGAAGGCAAGTTCCTAAATCAAATAAAAATGTTCTCCATTTCCTTCAGACTCTCCAATAATTTGTTCCAAATTTTGTGTTCTCCATTAGTCCAATTTACACAAACTCACACTAATTAGCTGCAGAGCTTCTTTTAAATTTACAAAAGCAATCATTCTCTGCAATAGCTCGATGCTATGCCCAAGTCCCTCTGAATAGACTTTAATGACACAGTAACCATGGTTACGGCATATAAAATATGCAGCCATGAAATGGGGAAATGTAACAGTGTAATATAATTTTCTCTGGAAAATAAAGGGTTTTGGCATATTTGCATTAATTAGGACATCACGTTAAGTATTACATGTTTGCATGCTTTATGAAAATAAAAGTCATAACAGACAAAGTGATTTTTGAATTCTATTCAATGGCAAACAGTACCATTGGAAAGCATTTTCCCTGATAAAATGGGACATTTTAACTGGACATCTACAAGTGCCATTCTGGTAAATTGAAGTTATAGCGTGTTGGAAACAAGCCGAGAGATCCACTGTGACTGGAGCAGCCATATGTCCCGGAGCTCAGGCTTTTAATCTGAGTGGCCACTGGGAGGAAGCAGCTAAACCCTCATCTGCAGAACTGAGCAGGCAATGGAGGAAATCCGTGGAGCAGCACAGCAAGTCAAAATTGGCTGCATCGTGTTTTCAGGCATTTTGCTTTCCTTATGCTATTTGTTATAACACCTGCTTAACTGGTGTAAACCCCTCCATTTCACACAAATCAAGCCTTCTGCTAAGTGACACTGAATTATTTGTGAAAGGTGCAGCCCCCTCCATCAGCGTTTCATGTGTCATATGACTCTCTTGCGTGGTGGTTGAGGATCCTGAGATCTCTCTTTCAGACTTGATTGTACTGGTAGGCTGGAACATGATCTAGAGCATTTTATCTCTCCAGGTTACAATTTTAACATCTCTACTTTGGTGGTTTGTTAGGAAAAGGGAGAAGAATGGCCATCTCAGGGCAAAATGAGAGGTAATACGCAGCCCTGCTCTAAGTTGTGCTCTAGTAAAAGTTGCATGCTACCATATACATGAAAAATACAATAGGTTTTCTGCATTGTTCATCTCTAGTTTGGAGTTGTACAGAACATGTGAACCAATTTAGCCGTAGTGACTGAAACTCAAAAGCTGACTTCCAAAGTAGACGCTACCTGTTCCTCTGTCCTCTCCAGGCAACAACTTCAGAGTGGTCCTGACAAGCCCATCTGCTTCGTTCTATTCACTGCAGTGATGCCACAATGTGTGGCAAATAGCCTTGAAGTGACAGTTTTCAAGCAATACAAAGGCAGTTACTTTATTTTCTCTTGAAGCATTCATCATACAACATTAGATGAGAGAGGTATTTGTACAGTCTGGTCTCTTCATGACAAACTGATGTGCAAGAGAAAAGATTAAATTAATTGAAAAACAGTGATTATGAACAGGTCATTTAGCTCTAGCCTCAAGCAAAACACCTCCTTATCAGCTAGGCATGGAAAGATGCTCCCAGTTCAGCTGTACCTCTTGTTCTCCCAGCTGCAGCCTAGTGAAAGAATCACAAAGGAAGGAATATTAACCTTAGAAAATAGAAAAGGATGAAAGGTTGCTGAAAATCCTTCAGTTCCATTTAGGTCAGACTGGCATTCGGCATTCTGTCCAATTAGGCAACTGGAGCGGATCCGCTTTTTGTCCCCATATTTTGTGCAACCTTGTTGCAGAAACAGAAGTGGTCGATAATATTTTTATTCCAGTTTCCAAATATAGATATAATAAGATTCCATTTAGGGAAATGAGATTGGGTTTCTCTTTTCTTTGCTAGCATGTTTCTTTGTTTGTTTTTGATTAATTTTTTTCCAACATGCAGACAAGAGTATATTTGGAACCTCCATTTTGCTTAGCTAGATCTTGTTTTCTTTAATAGTCCTTGATTAGGACTTTCAAATGCAGTCAAGTATGACATAGAAAAATGCAATTGAGATTGACATGTTATGTTCTTTACAACCTTGGACTCAGTTTCTGAGATATATTTCGTCTATGCAGAATGGACAAAAAGGACAGGACTCCTTTCTGAATCTTCTGCATATTGAAATGATTAATGAAACAGAGTCACAGAATGGTTTGGGTTGGAAGGAACCTTAAAGATCATCTAGTTCCAACACCCCTGACAAGGGCAGGGACACCTTCCACTAGACCAGGTTAGTCAGAGCCCCATCCAACCTGGCCTTGAACACATCTGGGGATGGAGCATCCACCACTTTTCCAGACAACTTGTTCCAGTGTCTCACCACCCTCATAGTAAAGAATTTCTTCCTTATGTCCAATCTCAATCTATCCTCTTTCGGTTTAAAGCCATTCTCCCTTGTTCTATCACTACATGTCCTAGTAAAACATCTGTCTCCAGCTTTCTTGTAGGTCCCTTCTGGTACTGGAAGATGCTCTAAGGTCACCTGGAGCCTTCTCTTCTCCAGACTGAACAGCCCCAATCCTATCAACCTTCCCTCACAGGAGAGGTGCTCCAGCCCTTTGATAATCTTTGTGGCCCTCCTCTGGACTTATTCTAACAGGTCCATGTCCTCTTGTGTTGGAGGCCCTGGAGTTGGATGAGTACTCCAGGTGTGGTCTCAGCAGAGCTGAGTAGAGGGGCAAAATCACCTCCTTTGACCTGCTGCCCACACTGCTTTAGATGGAGCCCTGGACACAGCTGGCTTTCCAGGTTGCAAATGCAAATTGCCAGATCATGTTGAGCTTCTCATTCACCAACAAACACACAAGTCCTTCTCTTCAGGGCTGCTCTCAATCCCTCTTCCACCCAGCCTGTACGTGTACTTGGGATTGCCCTGACTGAGGTACCGGACCTTGTACTTGGACTTGTTGAACTTCATGAGGTTCATACAGGCCCACCTCTCAAGCCTGCTCAAGTCCCTCTGAACTTCTCAGAGCACAGAGCATGTCTCTAAGATATTTACAAAACACTTGTCACTATAGACACAAAATTAAACATCAGAAAAGCAAAGGAAAAAACTTTTTTCTACACTTTTGTATGCTTCTGAAGAAAAAGAAGAAACAAGTAGAACACCAGCTCCAAACTTCAATCTAGGTTTGAGTTCATTTCCAGCAGAAAGTACCAAGGACAACCATCTTCCCTCCTCCCTTTCTTTAAAGAACGTAGCACCACTAAAGAAATCAAAGAACATATTTGAGAAAGTAATGACTATGTCCTGGTCTACCTAGTGTCATTCTGATAAAAAACATGGTAAAATCCTAATTTTGATTAAGTCAAAATTAGCATTGATTTAAATATTTTTCAAGTGAAATGCAGTTTCAACACTCTTCAGCACTTGGACTTGAAGTTAGAACTTTATGTCTGCTAGCCATCCATACAGAACTATTAGAGGACCAGACTCATGATGATCAGGATTTCATGGCCCTTCTGAAGTCTCAGTGACTTATGTTGGTTCCTGCTCTGTTGATATGACTGTGCCCGCCTGCCCTGGTTCAGCTCTGCATTTCACAGAGAGTGGTGGCAAAAGCACCTCCCACCCCACTCATATCCAAATGCACAGCGCTGACATGCCTGCTCACTGAACAATGTGTCCTCAAATCGTTCTGATGTTCTCAATAATTCAAACCTACTAAAAATAGGTGTAATTTTAAAGAGTAATTACAGACTACTATTATCCTTTGAAACTCAGTAAGTATATCAAATTATAATAAAAAAGGGCAAAGATATAGAACTATGAGCCCCTTCTTGGTTTTTACTGATACGTTTTTGAGCAGTACATTTCCACATGCATTGGGTTCTGCAACCAATAGCAACTCATGGTATCATATATTGTGCCTCCTTCTCCAGTCCAACTTACATGCAAAAATGTCAGCTGGACACATCTTGGAAGCTGTAGATCTAAAGACTAATACATATTATTTGATATTATTTACATGGTACTTGTGTTTTATGGTCAAAACCTGTGCTAACCTCATCCAAGAGCATTTCCTGAGGAAGGGCTGCCACACAGGAACTGACCCACAGCGTTTCTGAAGAGACCTTGAGAAGATCAGCTGATGCAGTAAACATCATATCCAGATCTGCAGGTCTTCTTGAACCATATTTATGCTATTTTTTTAAATAACCCTGCTGGCAGATCTTTTTCAGTTGCTTGGAAAGAAGAAAGTTCTCACTTAAAATTACTACATTGCAACATCGCTACTCCCAGCTATTAAACATCCCATGGCACGAAACACCAAGTCCACACAGGCCTATCTTAGCCAGTGTTCCAGTCAAGCACAATGTGAGTCATCTTCGGAGCATCAGATGGCTGACTTGTGAGGAATTTGCAGATGTGTGTGTTTGTTTGGATTACAAGGAGAGTATTTCAAGTGGAGACAGAATGTTTCATTCCTGCTCCTCAGCCTCATACACGCATTGTATTTGTCACTCCTGTCAACAAATATTTGTGAACTAAAAATAGTGCTTTAAATATATGCACTATATTACAGTGCTTTGGAAGCCATTTCTGCTTACAACTTCAGTTTTGACTCTTTGCTGTCTCCCTCCTTTAGGAGACAGCACTCTGCCACAGTGGTGCCGGTTGGAAAGACCTATCCCTCTCCCCTCACCCATTCTCATTTTACTCACCATTACTTTCATAGTTAATATTCAGAGAAGAGCAACATCTTCTGAAAGTCCAAATATTTTGTAGACAGCCTTGGGAAAACTGGCTTGAATCATTTTTCAAGACAAATTCGTGAGACCTCGTTTTCCACCATAGGAAGTTACATGCAGGCAAACGACAGTCTATCCAGGAGCCTGTTGGGTTAAACAAACATGGTCATTCTTTCCAGCACAGTCTTTCTGTTTGCTCTGTGTCAGTTTTGCTGAATAGCTCAGACTCTCCTGAAATAATTGTCTCATTAGGTATACAGGATACAAGTTGTTAACTGCATTCTGTCATCTCAAGAATAAATTATCCCCAGACAGCTACTGAACAGTGAGGGAGAACATAGTCTGGCACTTCTATTTCCCATGACTCTTAGAAAAAGCAATATCTATGTGTAATCACTGCCATTCAGGTAGTCAGGTCAAGGTCAAATCCTTTGCATTGCCTGATCTCTTCCAAAGACTGGGCAAAAGGAGTGTGATCATTATCCAGCATCATCTAACAATGCATCCAAATATTTCTATGAAAATCAGGTCAGATCTGATTATTCACAAGGTTACCCCAGTGGTCTTTCACAGATGCATGTGAGACAGGCAAAAAGAGAGGTAAAATAGGCAAAGTAGGAAAAGAGTCTATAGAAAACAAGGCAAAATGAAGGAAAAAAGAAAAGAACTATATGAATGTTAAGTGAGGATTAAAAATGGCATAAATATGTAAAAATTCAAGCAAAAAAAAAAAAGGAACAAGCACAGAATGCAAAGATTGTAGATTAAATAATCTCAGATGATCGTTATTATAGATGGTTCTCTTCTCTTCAGCAGAGGCACCAAGAATTTCACTTCTGAAATTGCCTAGCCACAATTTAATTGTACTTTAAGGTACACACCAAGAAGGTGTCACAAGTGGAAATAGAATACACAATTATTTTCATTTTTCTTAATTAAACCAAAATTGCCTTCCATTTATATTGTTTTCTTTTCTATTACACTTAAAGAAGAAGACAGCCAAAATGATTGGACTTTTTTGTCCTTCACTGCATCTTCCCCTCTCAAAGAAGATAATTTGCCCTTGGGTGGCCTAAGTGATTATTTAGGGATACCAGATGTAGAAACACACAAGATCCTCATTAACAGAAGTGCTGCATCTTTAATAAACAAGCAGCAGTGGCAATCTCAGGAGTCATACAGTGATGTATCATTTTGCTCTGAGGCACTGGTTCCACCTATTCCATTTCCTTAATGGTTCTGATAAGCCATTAAGACCTTCCACTCCATTCCTGCCTGTCAAAAATTGTCACTGAGCTCCAATCACACACTAAGACAGGTCATGGGAGGATCTGTGTGCATACTCCACTCTTCTCTCAGGATGCCTAAGACAGCTGTACTCTGATTCTGTGACTTGTCACCTGCTCAGTGCCTATGTCACACTAAAATGGACTCAAGATATTGTCTCTTGTTTACTCTCTCAAGGGAAAATAATTTTTTTTGTTGTTTCTTTTTGACTTTACTTTCTATCTTAACACTTTTTTTGTTAGTGTAGCTCAATTTGGAATAGCATTAATGGGTTCTTGATTCTGGCTATGCCACTGCTAGTGAAGAGAGTGCTTCATTATTGTTTTTTAAGACATGTAAAATTAAGGCCTTAAAATTTTAAGGCCTCCTAAAATCATACTTAGATGCTAATATAGTTTCCTGATCCTGTAGTTGGATATATGATGACAAACCAGAAGGCTAGGATGAAGCTCCACCTACTTTTAGGGTTGTGCACGTTGCATAGCCACGGTCAGTGTCCTATCAGTGCTGCCAACAAGAGCAATGTGCAACTGCAGAGATGCTTGTGTGACATGGGCTCTTCATGACAGCCCATGCCCCAAAAATCAATCCTGTTGTGGAATCTCTTGGTCATGGAGCTATTATAGGCAATGATAAGATGGATTTTCCATTTGGCTAATATCCTTCCACCTTCCGGAGATATTTCTGATTGAGGATGGTATGTAGGAAGAATAAGAGGAGAAAGTTCAGGAAATGTTTTCGAACAAAGCAGCCACTAGAAAAACTCTAGCAGAAGATCATTTCTTACAGCAAAAAATGCATAATGATTTGCAATGCAGACAGTGCACGTAGTTATGCAGAAAAAGAAAATTTTACAAATGAAAGGATTGAAACTCCCATTAATACTGTGGGATTAATGCAAAACTCCAAGGAGACATTAACTCTGCCTGCAAAAGGTGGTAGACACTTAGCATGCTGAAAGGCATTTCAGTATTATTTTAAAGGAGCAGCAAAAATACTGAAAAAATAAGTAAAGGGAATTTAAGATTAATTTTGACATGTAATATTCATAGCCAGAGAAAGTAGTTATTATTATTTATGTAGGAAAGATAGACAATACAGAGTTCTTGTGGACATCCAGCAGTGTTGTTTAACGAGAACTAATTTCAATCTTGCTCTAATCATAGTCAAATTAATCTCAAGTATTTCTAATACTCAGATGACAAATAGTGAGCAAACAATAGAATAATCTAACTCACACATACACACACCCTCCTGCATCCTAGTCTCCAAGGACTGAAAAGGTTTTGCTTTGTGGCCCAGCACTCCAGCTGTATTTGAAGTCGTCCCTGGGGACAGGCTGAACAGCTTGGAGTCACTCTGGGCCACCTCAGACTGAGCATTTCAGCCTGCCAGTGTCCTCTTAGGCACTATGGGGCCGGCAGGTTAGAGACCAGTGCCGAAGGGGCAAGGTTCAGCCAAGGAGTCTGGCTCACAGGGAAGCAGCAGAAAGAAGATATCTAGAATCTATATCCCAGGGTCACTGTGTTTTCATATCCATACTCTTTTTTTTTTTCTCTTCTTAAAGTATTTGGAGTTGAAAATTGATTCTTGGCTAAAGACATTTGCATTATCCTTTTTTTTCCTTTTCTTTCTGTAACATCAGTATTTTCATTTGGAGAAAAATCTTTATCTGGTGAGCTCTAATTAAATGCAAAAGTTGCTTTAGCTGACTGAACAACCAATCCTGACAGTTGCAGGAATCTGGGAATGTTGCAGACATTCACACCAGGAGGCATCTTCAGGAACATGAACTGCTCAGGATGATAGTGCTAATCCTGTGATCAGAAGTTCCAAATTTTGTGCAATTTTCATGCTTCTAAAAGTCAGTATTGTCCTTCACTGTGTCTTTGATGGAGACATGCCAGGTATGTGGTTGAGAAGCCAGAAGCTGCAAGGTGTTTTCCATCTGGATGACTGGACATGATGCACACTTTAGCACTCAGGGAAAGAGATGTAGAAGGCAAAAAATCTGGATGAACTGCTGTCAGAAAGTTGAGTTGTACCTGAAATCATGTTTCCCACTCTTAGATGGAAATATTCAATGACAAGCATGATTAGGACAGCAGGAGATCAAAATGTGGAGAGACCAGAGAGCTATCAATATTAAATATGTGTCTTCTGTATATCATGAATTGAAATGCACTGACGTTGCTTATAAGGAGAGGATGAATCACCATTTCTATATCTGGGGTTTTATTAAATGCACTTTAAGCCAACAATGAAAATTACTGAACATTAGAAATGAAGATTGGCAAAGGCACAGTTCATGGGTAAAGACCCTCCCTGCTGCACCCTTTAATGAGCTGCTGAGAGTGAAGCCCTTCTGAAAATCAACTCACTTTGTTGGGTGCTTGAAATAAAGTTTTCCTTTCAAATCTTCATTATACACCTAAATTTGTGCTAGACGAGAATACGGCTAAACGTCCTTCCCATGTAAGGACTCGTTGCCAACATCTGAGAAGGGTTTGGGCCATTTTTTAATAGGTTGGTATCTATATCACAAAACCTGCAAAGTTGATCCTTTGATTTGCTCAGAGCTATATGACTGGAAGTAAAATGGCTACTCCATCTGAAACCATTTGTTGCTAGAGAAAGTTACATATCCTGAAATGGTAAAAAAATCTGTGTAAGAATGAATAAGGAATAACGTTTTATAAAACCTGTAGGAAAATTCTAATAGAAAATATATGATGTTTTATAATAAAAATCATAGATTGCCACAGTAGATGATAGCATTTTGTGCCAAATGAAAAACATTTATGTTAAAGCCTAGAAAATGAGGACTTAGTAAGCTATCAGTGCCCTTTTGTCATATGTGTTACAAAATTAAACCAAACACTGACTACGTACAACAAACTAAAACAGGCTTATAGCAGATGCAGGGCTAGGAAAGTTCTCTCAAATTAGTGACATTTTGACTGTAAAAAGATAACAGTGAAAGGCTATGGTTAAGTCAGAATGCCTTTCGGAAAATCTTCATGGTAAAGGAAGCACTACAAATATAGGATAAGGAATTTCTTATGAAAATGCAGCTTTAGGCATCAATATCAATTATATTCTTTATGAAACAATAAGCGAAATAACTAAGAGTGTAAATTATATATAATTATATAATTTTTGAATTTCCAAACATCTTTTGATTGGAAACTGCTAGCAGTAAAGGTCAGAACAGGGTAGAATAGCAATTTCTTTACTAAACAGACAAGGAATCAACAGGAAGTGGTGGTGATTTGGACTCTACTTCAGTGGGTGTGGAGCTCTTGCAGAAAAAGTGTCTGTAAAAATAACAAAGGATAGATTGAGTTCTTTATGTTAAATTGCAATATGAAGAAATGCAAATCCATAATTAAATTAGAGAATTAGGGCTTCCAATTTCCATAGTGAGAAAAAATAACTTAGACCATATGATGTAATAAAATCCAGGATGTAGAAAAGTCCTAGCCCAGACCACTAAAAGAACTGGAATGTGAAATGCCAGTGTATGCCTTGCCTTGAGTCTGATAGAAGGGACTTTGTGAAACTGTAAATGTTGACTGAAAGGTTGCAAATGCAGTACCTATCTTCAGAGAAGGAGGAAAACATGATTCGGAGCAACACCAGGCCTTTTAATGTGACTTTGATTCTGCAAAATTTTAGAACAGATTTTGGAGGAATGAATAAGTAAGAATAGTTAGGCAATACAAAGTAGACTAATTTGCAGCACAGTTTTGTTAAAGATAAGTCGACTAATTTTTTTTCTTTTAATATAAAATCAGTAATTTACTACACAGAGGTAATGCAGCAGATATAGTCTAGATAGATTTAAGTTAAGCATT